GGTCCTTTACTACAAATTTCCAGACTTCCTGACGGAGTACTGTGAGCTGTTGGGCAACATCGTCTCATTGAATTCTCTCCAACTAAGGAATTTACTTCCTTCTGCATAACCTAGAAGATGTGTTGCCTCACCTGGTCCCTTGAACGTGAGTTCGCGCCACCACCATGTGTCTAGAATCGTCGTTTCAGTTAAATCGGCCTGGCTATTCCTCGCGTTGTGCTTACCGCTTAGTAGCAAGAATGCTTGGTTGATAGGTCGAATTGATTCTCTCACACGTGGACCAGCTGAGTCAAGAAGACGATCCTTCGGGTTACTGCATGCAAGCCGGCAAATGACTGCCACCCATTCTTTGTGGCGACGTCGACACGTACGTGGCGAGCTATGCACCGGTCAAAGTGCTTCCCGAACTGGTGACTGTGCTGCGCCTCACCGGCTTTCTCCTCACATTCCTCATCGACAATCCCGGTCTCTACACCTCGGCATTGGCCGCTGCCACCGCCACCACTCAGGCGACGAGAGGGGAGCACGACGGGAGTGAGGCGGTGTCTCAGGAGGCCCCACCTCCACCACAGGGCAAGAAGGCGGGTGGCCAACAGGCGAACGCCGCGATGCTCTGGTCTGCCCGCGCCACCCAACATCTCGCCACATTCGGTTTGGCTGCCAATCTCCAATACAACGTCGAGTTTTTAATGAACGTAGTTCTGTACTTCTGCATTACGGCAGTGAAGAGATTGCGTGATGTCAAATTAGTAGTGGTTTTTGATTGCTCCAGGTCGCTGCCTCCTGCTCAATTGCATGGCGAATCAGCTGCGTTACCCAAACTCGCACACGTACTACTTCTCCAACACGCTTCTCTACCTGTTCGCGGAGCAGTCGATGGAACAGATGAAAGAGCTGATTAGTCGTGTGTTGATGGAATCAGGCGCCTAATCGTGTATCAGCCGCCCCCGTGGGTTCTTGTGATTTCGGCAGCTGAAATTTTGAGCAGCCCTGTCTACCGTTTCTGGGAGCATGCGTTAGCCTGATTCCATGAGGACATGCAGAAATGAGTAGTTTCC